CACACTTCATGCCTTTGCAGGTAATGGCCTGCCCCATGGTGAGGGGCAAGGAGCTCTTGCTCCCTTCCCAAAGAATTGGCAGCTTCCCAAAGCTTTGCTTTCTATTCCCCTACTAGGGATCAGCTCTGGGAAGGCACCGCTGGAACAATGTATTCAGCTGGCAGAGAGGCCCGGGGTGCGCCAGCACTGGCTGGCCTGCCAGCACTTAATTATTGATGAGATCTCCATGGTGGATGGCAAGTTCTTTGACAGGCTGGAGGCGGTGGCGAGGTGAGTGATTGTCAGGTCAAACAACTAACAGAAATGAGTTTCCCTCAATTTCCAGGTTGCTTCCTTCCTCTGGTTATGTGCATGGGTACAAGGCAACCGCTGGCCTAGGGCTGGAAGGAAGAAGGAAATCCCAGTCAGCATCTGGGCAGGTCTTCATCTTGAGATAGGTTTTGATCATGTCCCTGCTCCCCAGCTGTGGCTGTTCTGGTTGCTGTTTCCATCTCTGGAGCCAAGTGTTGTCTATAGAGCTGACTCCAGAACACAGCTGTTTGTGCTGTGCCCAGCAGTCCTCTCTTGCAAAGAGAAGCAGCTGTAGTATAACAGTTACCAAGGAACCAAGACCGGTAATGACATCTGGGGTGGGTAGGCAAAGAAAAGTGAATGCCTTGTAACAGCATTGCTTAATTATTTGAGTTGTTCTGATACAGCTGAGGATAGTCACCTTTTACTGCAGATGGTGTATGTTTGCATATACTGATGGTCTAAGATGTAACTTGTCCAGATCCTGAAGGGCATTCAAAGCTTCTCTTCTCTCTCTTTACTCCCACCCTTTTTCTCTTCTCCTTCCTTTTCAGGGCAGTCAGAAAACGGGATGAGCCTTTTGGAGGAATTCAGCTAATCATTTGTGGGGATTTCTTGCAACTACCCCCAGTCTGCAAGGCTAATGAAGAAACCAAGTTCTGCTTCCAGGTACAAAACTGTCCCTTAAGCTCATTCTCATGCTTCAAATCTGCCTCTTTCTTAACAAGAGAATGATTTGCCAGGCAAAAAGCTGGAGGAAATGCATCCACATAAACATGGAGCTGACTGAAGTGTGGAGACAGACCGACAAGACCTTTGTCTCGCTCCTGAGTGCAGTCCGCTTAGGCAGGTGAGGAGAAACTCTGCTCTCTTTGTAATCCCTGCTCCCAACTGATGGGGCAGAGCAAAGAGCAGTTTGTCACTTCTTCCCTGTGCTCTATTGGGAATGAGTGGCTGGCTGCAATAGCTATAAATGCTTTAACTAATGTAAGCAGGTTTCATAAATGTTGCTCTGATAAGGAAGGACCCTTTCTAGGGTCCCTCTTTGCAATTTCCACTAAGGAATGCGATGGATCCTGAGCTGGCAATGGGCAGGGCATGGGCAGCCACATGCACTGCTCTCCAACTTTGTGTAGTTATCTTCCTCTGTCCTTCTCTCTAGAGGTCTGGGGCTTGCACAGCCTGATCCAGTTCTGTGGAGCTGTTACTGCTGCTCAAGACCTGATTCCCACCACTTTAAATAATAATCCCCTTTTCCTGGGTACCAGGTGCACAGAGGAGGTTACCAGACTGCTGATGCAGACTGCTGCTAACAGGTCTGAGCGTGATGGGATCCTGGCTACACGGCTCTGCACCCATAAAGATGATGTAGAAATAACTAATGAGAGACGCTTGCAACAGCTACTAGGTAAACTCGTTGGAGGAAGCTGCTGGCTTTGGGGCTGAGCTCTGAGAGGATGCAATGGCGATATTGTGGTGTCAGGAGGAACCAGTGTTCCGTCATGCACAGCTTGGATTGGCGCTGCTGTGTGTGTTGGAGTTGAGCTGCCTGGGGAAAAACTTCTGCTTAAAAGTCCCCACTGTTACTTCTTGGTGTGTAACAGACAGCGAGCTGGTTGCTTGCTGCAAGGAAGGGTGGGCCATTATTGCCTCCATACCCCTACTTTTTCTTTCTATAGCATCTCAGAAAGGCAGTGCTCTATCCAGCCATAGCTTGAATTAAGAGCTATTTCATTTCTGCCTCCCTGCCTGGCCCTAGGATTTCTCCGTAGTCCTTTTTGGAGATCTGGTGCTGGCAGCAACTGAAACTGCTCAGTTTTTGTTTACTGCTGGCTTTTGATTCCTGAGCCTTCTCATGCTCTGGGAGTTATGTTGGGAAGAGAGGCAATCGTGAGCTTTCTGCTGTTAGATGTGACTAGGTTTGTGTGAAGATGTCCTACCAGCAGAGCAGAATGGATATTAAAACAGGAGTTGCTATTAAAAATAAATGCTGAGTCTCCTGCAATGCTGTGTAGAATATGTTCAATGGTTGCCATTTGTTATGTCTTTCTTTCCTTAACAGGAGAAGTGCATGCTTTTGAGGCTTTGGACAGCGACCCGATGCTAGTGAGGTTAATTGATGCTCAGTGTCCTGTGGGTGGTAGAGTTGAGCTAAAGCTTGGAGCTCAGGTGAGTGTGTGTATGTATGTTTGTGAAAGACCAGTGGATCAAATAGCATAAGAAAATGCTAAAGGAATAGCAGGTAAATGTATAGAGTAGATCAATGTATAGAATGCAGATTCTGCATAGAATGGCTATGCCAGGCCAACAGAAGACTCTATCCCAATCTTTGTATGCTTTCTGCTTGGAACCTTATCCTTATAGTGGTGACTGCTATGACTTTGACACACATTTCCAATCAGGTTTAGAAGCTTCCAGGTAGCAGAGAACACAGGCAGTGCTTGCCTGAAGTCTCAGACCCAGGTACAGCAGCCCTTCTGAGCTATAAGGGTATGGCATAGCTTGCCAAATTTGCAGGATTGGGCAGCTTGCTGTGAGCTAGGCCTGTCAGAGTGGAAAGCATGCAGGATTGTGCTTAGCAGCAGCAGTGTCTGCCTTGGGAAGTTGTTTGTTAGGTGTTCCCAGAATCTATGAAGCAGCTCAAGTAAAGTGTTCAGTGCTGTGGAATGATGTAGCTGGGAATCCTAGGAAGAAAAGGCTGTGAAATAATTTGTCAGGTTGGAGATGGTGCTCTACCCTGCAACAGGATGTTATGGCTGTGGCCTATCAGCCCGCTGTGCTTATGCTTCCTGGCTAGAAGCTTAGCTGCAGGTGGCTGAACAAGCTGTAAAGCCAGTGCACGACAGGATTTTTCTTTTTTTCTGTAGGTGATGCTAGCTAAGAATCTGGATGTGTCCCAAGGGCTGGTGAATGGGGCACGAGGGATTGTTGTAGGATTTGAAAGTGAACAGAAGGGTAAGTAAAGCTTTTTGTGTTTTGTGGGTTTTTTTTTTGTTGGTGGGTTGTTGTTTTTTGTTGTTGTTGTTGAAGGAAGAAGAAAAAAACAAAACAATTCCTCATTGATGGCTGCTGACTTGTTAATTTTGTTTACCGCTTGGTAAGAATAATCTGAGGGAAAGCAGGGAGGAGGTCTTTTCTGCAATGAGAAGCTTGGGGCTCTCATGAGCTGTGATGTCATGCACTGCATCAGTTGTAGCTCTCTGTAGGGCCTCTTGTTTGCTTTTCTTTATTCTCTAGATGTGTATGCTCATTTGCATTTCCTGTGTGTTCTGTTGAAGCAATTCTTAGTGGGGGTTTTTTGTTTGTTTTTCTCAGAGAATAATGTTCTGCTACTTGCAATGTGTATTTTTCTCTGCATCTCAACTGATAAATTACCTGACTTTAATTCTCCTGCTTAAGTAGGTCCCAAAAATCATTTCAGTACATTCTGTTTACTATGTGTGGGTTTAGGGTTTTTTTGGTATGCGATTTTTCTTTTTTAATGCAGCCCTAAAATTCATGAAAGACTGGCATGGGGAAGGAGAAAAAGTGTTCTTAGGCTGCTGGCTTCCTGGCTGTTGAGTGTCAGGAATACATCCTGCTCCCATTCCTACAGGGCTGCCTAAGGTGAGGTTTCTCTGCGGGGTCACACAGGTCATCAAAATGGAGAAATGGGTCTTCAAAGGACCATCAGGAGTTCATCTGAGTCGTCAACAGTTGCCTTTAAAATTGGCATGGGCCATTTCCATTCACAAGAGTCAGGTGGGTGTTCTTATACAGCTGTCTGTTGAATTCTACACCATCATAACCCTTATTTCCTGTGTGAGCTTGCATTGCTGGTAAAACAGGAGGGAAAACTGAAAGGTCCTTGTTGTGGGGGACCTCTAGAATATGTGTGTCTAGCTGCAGAGAAGGCAGCACCTCTTCTGCTTGTGATGCTTGTCTATAGGATCAAGGATGGGCTAGCAATACTGCTAGAGTTTCTATGAGGGTGCTGTCATCTGCATAGTTGGTGTTAGACTGTGAAGCAGCATTATTTACTGCTGTGGGCTGATCAGGGTAGCGTTTCCCCAATAGTCATCAGCATTAGTGACCCTGAGGAAGCTGCAGGAGTCACAGCTGTGCTCCATAGGCTGGACTCCCTCTTTGGTGATGTGTGTTGGGTTTTTCAATGTAACTAATATTATTCGTACATTTCCAGAAGACTTCATATGCTCTGATAAATACTTGTCTTGCTGTTAGACCTGTGAGTTTGTTCCCATGCCACTATTTAAACCACGCTGCGTTGTAAATTCTGCTGCCTTCTGGGATGTGTCTTGGTGCAGAAAGGGCTGGCCAGGCCTAACCCAAACCCTATCTCAGATGGTCTGCCCAAGGACTGCCTGAGATGGGTGGTTGCACCAAATTAATTACCAGGAGTGAAAACATCAGGACTTCTTTCCCTGCTGTGTTGATTTTATGGGATTTGTGGAGTTTCACACACCAAGAAGCTCACTGGAGTTAGTTAGTGGACCCTACTGTCTGCCAGCAATTTCCTGACAGTGGAAAATCGTCCTTTCTACTGATTCCCATCTTCTAATCAGTTACATAGTCAAACAAGAAACTTCCTTATTTTATCAAGTCCATACACCAAGGATGGTTCCTTTGACAGACTCGCAGGACAGGTTAGTGTTGGTAACAGTGTTCTTTTTTGTATATCTGTTCTGTAACAGACTTCTCTGTGTCTTTCATAGGGCATGTCTTTAGATTGTGTGGAAATCTCCCTGTCTCGTGTCTTTGAAAGTGGGCAGGCTTATGTAGCCCTTTCCCGAGCCCGTAGCCTTGCAGGTCTCCGTGTTCTGGATTTTGATCCAAAAGTGGTGAAAGCTGATCCTTCTGTGTTGCAGTTCTATAGACAGCTGAGACGTCATCAACTTCTAACTGAGGTAAAGAAAACTCTTGTGCTAGCAAAACCTGCCTTGTGCAACCAGGATGAGAGATGTTTGTGCTGAGATGCTACTTTTTCTTCCTAAGCAAGATCATTCAAATTAGAACTTGTAGTGGTAGGAGAGATGAAAGTGCAGAGAGGGAATGTGGTGTGGGGAGACAGCCTGTAGTGGCAGAATAGCTGCTGTAATGTTGGGATTCTATAATACTACCTGGCCCTGTAGGTGAAAGGATGGGTTGGGATTCTTTGATCTTCCTCTTGCAATAAGGACTGAAGGAGAAGTGGGCACACAAGAAATCTCTTCTATTTTTTTTTTTTCCTCCTCCCACCAGGATTCACTACACATCCATTCAGCTGCTGATGAGAAGGAGAACTGGAAATGCAGCTGAGTGCTCTTCTGGCCTCTGTGAGGCATCAGCACAGACTGCTGAGTTGCAGTGATCTTGCTATTGAGTATATTTGATAACATAAAGTCAAAGGAACTTTTTAAAATGTTTGCTTCATTCAGCTGACTCTGGATGTGTAGAAGTATCCCTGTCTTCTGCCTCTGAAATTTGGAAGGCTTCTATAGCCCCTTTGTGGGCCCACAGCCTTGAGCACTTCTGTGTCACAGATGCAACTCCAGCAAACAAAATGACTGAACAAGGATGTGCCTGAGGGACCTTCCTACAGTTCTGTCTGCCTTGTTGCATTTTACTCTCCACATACGTAGACTGAAACTTTTGTGCCTTTCTTCAAGTATACCACAGCTGGGAGATGGAAGGCATGTGTCGTCTTTGCCTGTATGGGCTGGACCCGTTCACAAGAGCTGCTGATACAAGGGAAAGCAGTGCTAAGTATCTGGAATACATGCTTGATTCTCCTGCAAGCAAGCAGCTGCCAGGAGCTGGGCTATCACTTTATAGCATGCTGGGGTGTTCTTGCCTTCCAGATGCTTAACAGCAGGAGGCTTTGCGTAACTTCATCCACAAGCAGAACTGTAAAAGTTATACATTGCCTGTTATGCTGATACATAGCCTTTTTATTAGTCTGTTGCATGCATAAGATGTGATTTCTATTGTTTTAACCTTCCGAGATGAGCTGGCACTATGTCTTATAACCATAATTATGAAGTGCAAGAATCATGAAGATCCATTACCCCTTTAGCAAGAAAGGAGTGAGAGGAGATGGGTGCTGGTGGGAACCCTTCTTGTTTAAACACGTGAGGCTGGCTCAGATGGGAGGGAGTTTCTGCTGGAAACAATGCATCTGGCTAATAAGGTGGAAGCTAGATGTGCAATAGGGAATAATGCCCAAGGACATGTGAATTGAACTGTAACTTCAACTGTTTCAGCAAAAGCAGAAAGGAGCAGAGCTAATGTACTGTCTTTTTGAAGCCTAAATAAAAGATAAGCTTTGGTCTTTGTATTTTAGCGCATTGCTTAAAGCTTAAGTAACTTGTATATTTTAAAATGTTCAATATGTGGGAATAATATGAAATAGCAACATCCACCTGGAAGTCATCTCTTGCAGGGGTGTGTCTCTGAAACAAAGCCTCTGCAGTTTGGGTGAGTTGAAGGCCACTTCTTGGCAGCTGTCTTCCTTAAATCCAGGGAAGGATGTTGACTAGCCAGTGGTTAACATAACAAAACACAGGTTTTGGTAGGATTTCAAAATGTATTTTTTAAGTGGGATTTGGTTTTTCTGGGCTTGAGAGGTAAGTTTTGGAGGAAGCAATAGTAGAAAATGGAAGTATGAGAATTATTCAGAGATGTTTACTCTAAGAAGGGGGTTCTTAATGTATTGGTACATTGTTTCTTCAAAGAACTCTGTGTGTCGGGGGTAGATGGAAGTCCCTGAAGCTGGGACTGGAGTCTGTGGAAGGTGAGGCCCTTCCCTTCACACTGCAGGGTGTGTCTGGCACTACCTCTGGACTTTCAGACTGTGTGTGTGGGGGGGGTTTTTTTTCTTTTTTTTTCCCCAGGCCTTCACTAGACCTGGTTGAGGGCCTGACTCTGTTGCAGAGGAGCTGCTGCAGATGTCCCCACCCAGCCTGTGGGCTGTGTCCCCCAGCTGACTGGGTGGCAGTACCCAGCTGGGGTGACTGAACATGAGAGTGTTCAGGTTTAGCCCTTTCCTGCTGTGGCAGCACACATGGAGTGCAGGTGTGGCAGGCTGGCCCCAGCCTTTCCTTGGACACCTCTTGTTCTCTCAGCTGCCCATCAGCCCTACCCTGCTGTGCGTCCCTATCTCGCAGCACTCTTGTCCTTTCCTCATGCGGCCATTCTGTGGTGGGTGCCCTGGCTGAGCCTCTGTGCTGTGCCACTCATGCTTCGTGTGTCGTTCCAGCTTGGCCTCAACATGCATCCTCTACTTTTGTGGTGGGTTGAATTCTTCCTTTTGTTCAACGCTGTTCTACTGACCATCTGCTGACATCATGTTCATCTTCCCCTCCTACCCCTTGTGCAGGTGGTCAGAGGCTGTGGGTGCCCTAATTGTCAGGGGCAAGGCTGGCTGTGCAGGCAGGGAAGCCCGATGTGTAACCTGGAAAGCCCATATGCTTGGCCAGTGGGCTGGGGCCAGTTTGAACTTTTATGGGTTTTTAGAGATGGGACACTGCAGTATGAGGGCTTTGTGGTGCATCGGACGTTGAGGTATGGGGTCTGAAATGCTCAGGAATTTTAAAGTCAGTTTTACTGTTGGGGTAGACAGTTAAGAATATGCCAGGCACTTCTAGTCCTACACAATACATTGATTTATTGACAGATTGCATAAAAATAATGAGATAATGCAGGTTCAAATCCTTTAACATCTTTAAAAAAGTTCCCATGCCACTATAATGGCAAGATGATTAAAAGTGTAAGAGGGTTGATTATGTACAATGCAAATAAACTTTTAATTGTGATCTTGTGAAGCAACTCACTTAACTGCAGCTTTCATAAGTTTAAGGACTGAAATCTTCCAGGTGTACAGGGTTTTTTTGGTGCCAATTTGAGGTTTGAGATAAAATGTTAAACAGAACTTAAAGCTGGAAAGGGTAATAAATATTTCCTGTTAGTATTAAATGTACGTGAAATATTGTGCTTGCCTTCTCAGAGGTGGAGCAGAGGGAACAGAATAGCAGTGGCTTTTGAAGAGTTGGCAGCTGTCCTGAGGCCAGAAGGGGCCCGTCTGTGTAAATTTTGGATGTTCTCACTCACTTCCAGCTAAAGCAGATGTAGGGATGGGGGCTGAGGCTGAAGACTGTTACTTAAACCCTAAAAGCAGCAGTCAGGACAAATCTGAGCTGTCAGGCTCTGTCATGGCTCCCTTGCAGTCAGGATTGTGATGAGGCCTGTTTTTTAACAGAATAATGCTTCCATATATATGAGGTAAAAGTCTTGTAATACAATAAAAATCCCTTCTTCCAAATACTCTTTAATGTGTTAATTTTTTCTTGCAGAGGGATATTAATTAGTCTGTGGCTAGAACGCAGTACACCAACACAGGATTTTTTTTTTTTTGAAACTTTTTTTATTGCAGCATCTGTACTGGAAGAATAGAGCTGCTAGTCCTCTCCATTAGTAAGTAAAATGAAAAAGAATCTGAAGAGCAAGCAACTCTTTACATGAGGCCACAAGCCATTTTCAAAATGTCCGTTGCTTTCACCTGCTGAGGCAAGGTGGTCTTACCATGTTGGATTTTTTTTGAAGGACAATTCACATGGCTTGTAGCAGAGTCAGTACACGTGCTATTCTCAGCCTACGCAACCTAGAGCTCATGTTTTTCCCCTGCCCCAGCGTGGCCCTTCTCCACAGGCTGCAGTCCTTCAGGAAAAACTCTGCACCACTGTGGTCTCTCCAGGGGCTGTAGGGGAGTCTCTGCTCAGGCATGCGGAGCTGTTCCTCCCTCTCTGACCTGGGTGCTCGCCGGGCTCGTTTCTCACACTTCTTTTCCTTGCTCCTCACAGCCGTGCAGTGTTTTCCCCTTAAATCTGTTATGGCAGAGGCGCCACCAGGGTCGGTGGCGGGCTCGGCTGTGCCTTGTGGTGGGGCTGCTGTGGAACTGGCTGGAACCGGTTGGAACCAGCTGTGTCAGGGTGGGGCAGCCCTGACCTCTCCTCACAGAGATTCCCGCCAACACGTGGGCACGGGCACCTGATACACGAAGTATCAAGTGTGTTATCTTCCTTCGAAACTGCCTCTCTACCCTCTCCTGTAGATGCTCATAGCATCTGCGCGGTTGGATATCCGGGATACAGAGGTAAGGCTGGAGGCACGGTGCTAGGTAAAAAGGGAAATGGCCGGTGATGGAGGAGCCACCACTTCTGTGTGGCAGATGGTTGGAGGTGGACTGCGGTAGGGCTGCAGTCCAGCTAAAATGAGTGGCATGCCAAGAAGGTTCATGGCACTGCAGTGAATGGCTGGGGTTTCATTACTGAATGCCAATAAACGTGAGGTAATGAAGATTGTCTCTCCACTTTCACAAACTGATTAAAAAGTATTTAAACATGGCTTTTACCTTAACTTAACAGCAGCTATAACGAAGTCAATTAAGCTATGAGTTTGATTCTTAGTTGTTTTTTCTGTTACCACAAAGTACAGCCATTCTCTCTTCAAATGCATTAAACCATAAGAAACTGCCCTATACCAGCTAAAGCTTCATAATACATTTATGTATTATTGGAAGCATAATTCACATGTGGAGTATTATTAAAACCTTACCAGCTTCCAGTTTAAATCTTTGTACAGTGATTTTAAGTCCCTTCTCATTCTTTACATGACATTTTCATAATAATTAAACACGAATGTGTCCTTGCAGTCTGTACCCAGAACCCCTGTGGTGAGCAGGAAAGGCAGCAATAGTCCTGTTGATCTCAGATGCTGTAATAAGATTGTGTCCCTGAATTAGATCTTCGTATCCAGGATTTCTCTGAATGGATCAAACAAATGCTACTTTTAAGTAATGGAAGTATAGTACATTGCTATGAATGCTAATAATGTCATTTTTCTCAGAGATATTAAAAGTTTCTCATTTTGT